ACAACTAGTATAATACAAACAGTGAAACACAATAAACATACATAAAGGTATATGTACTGCAAATAATAGTGTCTATATGTGGTTGCTGAAACGATATGTCCTTAATATGTGAAAAACTTAAGGATGTAGAATGTTAATGCTATAAATTTCCAGGTAACTTCGTAACAAAGGAATTAACGAGTGAGAATGTAATATGTAATAACAAATTAGTAGAAACTATCAGTCTATCAAATCCATAAATTATAATTTTCGAATTTTGAATCTCCAAAGAAATAAATGCTATGACAAAGAGTGCATCAGAGCCCTCTTTTTTTTTAACAAGGTTTGAGGATTCAAATTTTGAAAAGTAATAGATTAGATAAATGTAGCTGACGACTATAAAACTCGTATATCGTCAAAGTATACAAGCATTATAACTTTATAAGGTTTTTATAGTTGTAGTTTTCTGTTAAAGCTTGTGATTACTGTACTTCTTGCGTGATATTTTTTATATTGACATCAAAATGTGAAATAAAAGATGCACGTTATTAATTAGTGGAGGACAAAGAAATTGGAAGAGTCAAATGAAGTTTGAATAAGAAGAGAAAATAATTTGGCCTTTAGGTTGCGTGAAGGAAGTAGGCGGAAAGTGTCGTTACTAGGTCAAACTCGTATAGAACAGAAGAAAAAAAACAACAACAAAGACTTAGTACCCATTCTAAAGGCTCATTAAGAGCCCATCCGCCCAAAGGAAGGCCGAGGTCATGCTAAGACCAACCGCATCAGCGGTTTTTGACACGGAAACCTATAAAAAAAATATTTTTTTATTTCTTTTTCAACGAACTCGGTTCGTCAGGAAGAGGCGAGTTCATCACGAATTTATGACTATTCCGCGGGTCTCATGCCACGTGGCCGCCCGCGATTGGTTAGATTATTAATTTTTTTTTTTTTTTTTTGAAGTAAAAAAAAAAAAAAAAATTAAAAAGACTTACCTTGGAATCCGCACCCATGCGGATCGCTGATGCGGTTGGTCTAACAACTGAAAAGCGAGGGAACAAGAATATTTATTTGAACAAGAATGTGCTGGAGCTGCTAAGAGATGAAGATGAGTTTAGTCTCAATGCAAGACTGAGTATGCCCTTCTCCTAGTCAGTCGTCGAGGACGTCCAGGTCTATCTGACATTCAAAATTCAAAGAAACAAAAATCTAACAAAACTGTTGAAGTTCTATGTTAGTACTTTTTATATCAAACCAGTCAATGAAGGAAAAACTAGGGTATACTAGAGGCAACACAAACGCTATTAATAAAACATAAGAATATTGACTAAGATCGTATAATAATCATATGAATGGAAAGCAAAGTAATGTTTTTGCTTATAAACTCGGAGAGATCTTGGGAACACTAATGCAACAAGTTTTTCTTCAACTTTTTTTTTTTTTTGGAATATGGCGTCTGCTTAGGAGCATTTCTCATTTTCAGTTTGGGTGATAGTAATGTTGTTGAAGATGCAGAGACACACATGCTGCAGTGGGAATGAGAGGAAGGCCTTGTTGGAGTTGAAGAGCTATGAGAATTCAGTTGGAGGAGCTGATGCTTTCCTGGTTGGGGTGAGATTCAGTGTAGTCTTACCAGTGGATATGTGATTGTGATTAATTTGTTCGACAAGGAACTATTAAACTATAATCTTCTCCTAACTCTCTGTCTTTGTAATATCCTTTTGAAGAACTGCAAAGTCTCAACATCACTAACACATTTGTTGGGTGGTTAGACCATCTTGAAGGTGCATATATATACTCCTTCTACTGGAGCGTCACGGTGATTTGTGTCTGTGTTTGCTGGTTTTGCTCTTGTTTCTGTGTGTTTGGATCTTCTCCTCGACAAGCATGTATCAGCCTCATCGATGCTTTCATCCGCTTAACAAGAAGGGCCTTGTCCTAAAGAATCTCAAAGCAAAGCTATAAATAATATCATAGTTTCACTGGGAAAGACATGTTTTATGTTTATAATTTTCAATTGTTTTGGCAATATGCTAGCTCAATGACATTTAACTGAAATATTGGCTTCCACAAACCTTGTCTCATCTCAACTTGCAGGAAACTTAGAGATCATATAATATATATAAGAAACGACATAACGTGACTTAACAACAGATCCCCCACTGTGGTAAGTAAGAAGCATCAATGAAATAAGTTTGTTAAAGAGAGAGATCAGCAAGATCGAATGTTCTCTCGACTGCTTTGCACCATGACTCCACTTTCTTCTTCCTGGTTGCTTCTTCCATAGCCGGTCTGAATACTTTGGAGTTCTTTGACTTCTCTCCTGACTCGAATATGTCTTCTTCCTTCCAGAATCCAACTGCCAATCCAGCTGCATAGGCTGCTCCTAGTGCTGTTGTCTCTATGTCCACTGGTCTCACCACTGGAGTTCCCATCAAATCAGCCTGTCAAATGTTTTGAGGGACAACATGAGATTAATGTTAAAACTAAACTACAGTTATCATCATCATCATAATCATTACCTGAATCTGCATAAGAAGGTTGTTGGCAGTGGCGCCACCATCAACTCTAAGCAAGAACTCCCCCTTCTCGTTATTTAGGGAGCCCTTTTCACCAGCGTCTTTGTTCATAGAGTCTAATACATCTTTCACTTGGAAACACATGCTCTCCAGCACAGCCCTTGCAATGTGAGACTTGTTTGTGAACCTTGTGATTCCAATGCAGACACCACGGGCGTCTTCTCTCCACCAAGGCGCAAACAAACCGTTAAATGCTGGCACAAAGTACACTCCTCCAGTTGTTTCTACCATAGCCGCCAAATCTTCAATTTCACTGGCACTCTTGATTATCCCAAGGCTGTCTCTTAGCCACTGAACAGCAGCTCCAGCTATAGCTATCGAACCTTCGAGAGCATAGTTTGTCTTTGCTTGAGGCCCAAGCTTGTAAGAGAGTGTGGTTAGAAGTCCATGTCCTGACTTGATGGGCACTTCTCCTGTGTTGAGAAGAATGAAAGCGCCAGTGCCGTAAGTACTCTTAGCCTCACCTTTTTTGCAAGCTTGTCCTAACATTGCAGCGTGTTGGTCGCCAAGACATCCAGCAATCTTGATGCCAGGAATGGGCCAGCCTTTGCATATTTCTCCAATGACCTCGGAGTTGCTTACAATCTTGGGCAAGATTTCAGCGGGAATGCCTAGAGTTTTAAGAGTGTCCTCGTCCCAGTTCAAGGTTTTGAGGTTCATGAGCATCGTACGAGAAGCATTTGTTACATCAGTGACGTGTAGCCCGCCATTGGCACCGCCGGTCATGTTCCAGATCAACCATGTGTCGATGGTGCCAAAGATGGCATCTCCTTTCTTGATAGCATCTTTAACAGCATCAACATTCTCCATTAGCCAGAGAAGCTTCATGGCAGAGAAGTATGTGCTTATGGGCAAGCCACATGACTCAACAAAATGAGATCTTCCTCCTGATAGTTCCTTCTCTAGTCTCCTGTGAATATCATCCAAAACAAAATTCATCAGAAACCAACTCTCTAAAAACAGAGGATATTTTAGGAAAAACCATTCAAGAAGAGCAAAACAAGAAAGAGAGATTATGCATGTAATGGACCTGCAGATGGAACTGGTGCGAGCATCCATCCAGACGATAGCTTTGTGGAGAGGAAGTCCAGTGGATTTGCTCCAAACGATGGTCGTCTCTCTTTGATCCGTAAGCCCAATGGCCTTTAAGCCACCATCTACATTATGTCCATCGGCTGTAGCTTTGTCAATAGCCTTTGCAATGCACACTTTCACACTTTCCAATATCTCCATTGGATCGTGTTCCACCCATCTTCATTCCAAAAATCACACAGTAAATAAGTATTTATATAAATGTATTCATCATATCTACTTAACAAAGATTACGAAATATTACAGATCATCGAACATAGAAGAAAAATCTCACCTACTTCTCACAGTAATCACATATAATCAATTAAAAATATATATAACAAAAAAGGGTCAACAAGTAGGTGAAAATACAGAGATCCAGAGAGAGAGGGATTACCCAGCTTCAGGATAGAACTGAGTGAACTCGACTTGATGAGATGCAACGGCACGAGCATCATGATCATAAATTATGAATCTGGTGCTGGTGGTTCCTTGATCTATTGATCCAATGAAACCTTTCTCTCCTGCCATTTTTTGTTTTTGTTTTTGTTATTCTCTTTCTCTCTCAATTAATGAGGAAGAAGATTGAAAATAATAAAGAGTGATTGAAGATAGGATATAACGTGGGAATATGGGGGGGGGGGGGGGATATATATAGAAAGCTGAATGAGAGTCAGAGATATTGTTGGAAAGTTCACCCCTTCTTTTTTATCCGTTTACTCCAGCCGATGATATGATGTATTCATTATCGTTTCTATTGGTTGAAGGTCAATTATTATGAGATCATCTTTCTTAAATTCAGCTCCATCTTTCACGTGCTCTTCACGGATTGGAAGACTTTCTAACCGTCCCTATCGTTGACTTTGAAAAACTCTTATGTCTGTTCACAAATCTGGTTTTCAGAGTTGTTTTCTTTGAAACTTATCCAAAATTCAGACTATTTTTTTTTTATTTTACCAATAACTATATGCTATTTATAAACCTTAAAATATATATACAAACTTTAGATTTCTTAATCTTTATATTAAATAATCTTAGCTAAAGTTTTCTCATTTAGAAGATATCGATTATTAGTGGGGTTTATCTACTACTTATATTTAATTGCTGCTATGTAAAGGAATATACGAAAATTTGGTGAGCTGGTTTACCAATAAATATATTTAGCTAATTGTAAATTGCGATATCGACCGTAAATATATATGGGGGATTTACTATCAGAATATATGCAGTTGTAACACACTGAGATGGCTATATATACTGCTTTGTCTAGCATTCACATATCTTTTGCAACCAATAAGACCTGATTCAAAACACTTCTCACAGCATTAACCTATGAAAGACTCATCTTTATATACTCAAAGAAAGCAAGAATGAATATAGCTATATTATTAATCTATCGGAGCCCTAACTATCTCTTGACATTAAATGTTTTTATTTATGACAATTTAAGTCACTTGATCACATATATGTGCATTGCGTCAAAGAATATAAACCAAAAACAACATGGTTCATATAAGATCTCCTAAAGCAATTTCATATAAGGTTCAAACCCTTTCTTTTTTTTTCAAAAAAGTCTCAAACACTTTGTCAAAAACTAACTACCTAAATTTACTACGTTGTAGAAATGTAGCTAACAGAATAATATTCAATACTTTAAAGTTTCTTTATAAAATATTGAAATTCATAAGCTTTTTTTGCTAAGAAGAACTTCCTTAGACGGTAGCGTAAATAATAAATGGTAAGCTTGGGGATTACGAAATCATCATTTAATGCATATATCCAAATTTGGCATGGTTCACAATGCAACAACATCTTCTATTCCTTCCACATCTCATCATCACTTTGCATTCTCCCTAGCTTTTCTGTCTTCGCTCTCTCCATGTACGCCGCTTCTTTTCGCGGTCTCGCCGCTGGCGTCGCTTTCATCGTCACTGCGTCTGGTGGCGCTGTTTTATCGCTTGTCTCCAGCCACAAAGACATGCAGTCCGATTGTGGAGTCGCTAAAGCGTAAGATTGGTGATCCTACCGCCTCCGTACCGTCTCGATCCGTCCAAGAATCGGCTCTGAGTGGAGCCAGCTTGTCAAATCCGCTCGATATTCTCGTCATAGGCGGTGGAGCCACCGGTTCTGGTGTCGCTCTAGACGCCGCCACCCGTGGCCTCCGTGTTGGTCTCGTCGAACGAGATGACTTCTCCTCCGGAACCTCTTCTCGATCAACAAAACTTATTCATGGAGGTAACCATAATCTTAAACTTCACGCAATTCAGACAAGAAGCATGAAAGCAGTTACTTGGTTGAATGAGTGTTAGGTTTTTTTTTTTTTACTACAGAACATATTAAGTAATTAATGGTCTCAATATATATGAATAATTAGGGGTTCGTTACTTGGAGAAAGCTGTATTCAATCTTGATTACGGACAGCTTCGGCTTGTGTTTCACGCCCTCGAGGAGCGTAAACAGCTGATCGATAACGCGCCCCATCTCTGCCACGCACTCCCCTGCATGACACCTTGTTTCAGCTGGTTCGAAGTTGGCTACTTTTGGATGGGACTGAAAATGTACGACTTGGTGGCTGGACCAAGACTCTTGCACCTCTCCAGATATTACTCCGCAAAACAGTCTGCTGAGCTCTTCCCAACCCTCGCTAGGAAAGGGAAAGACAAGACTACTTTGACAGGCACTGTTGTGTATTACGATGGGCAGATGAATGATTCGCGTGTCAATGTTGGTTTGGCATGTACCGCTGCTTTAGCTGGTGCTTCAGTTCTAAACCATGCAGAGGTTGTGTCTCTTATTAGGCATGATGTTACTCAGAGAGTGATTGGTGCACGTATTCGTAACAATCTCTCAGGTACCTTACAAATCAATTCTGTTTGAATATTTAGTATATAATTAACAGATGATCACATTCACATGCTTTGTTTTCGTATATGACTAGGCAAAGAGTTTGACACCTACGCGAAGGTGGTTGTTAATGCGGCTGGACCCTTCTGTGATTCGGTTAGGAAGATGGCTGATGGCAAGTCGAAGCCTATGATATGCCCAAGCAGTGGCGTACACATTGTGTTGCCAGACTACTATTCTCCTCAAGGGATGGGACTGATAGTCCCCAAGACTAAGGATGGTCGCGTTGTGTTTATGTTACCTTGGTTGGGGAAAACAGTAGCAGGCACTACAGACTCTCCCACTTCTATCACTTCTCTTCCAAAACCTCATGAAGATGAGATTCAATTCATACTTGACACACTCACCGGCTATCTTAACATCAATGTATACGTTAAACCTAAACCTCTTTTTGTCTTTTCTTTTTACTAAAAGATGATTTAGTTGCTGATCTTCATAAAAAAATTTACTAGGTTCGACGTACCGATGTTCTCTCGGCTTGGAGTGGTATTCGTCCATTGGCCATGGACCCAACAGCAAAAAACACAGAAAATATGTCAAGAGACCACATTGTTCTCGAGGATTGTCCTGGTCTGGTTACAATTACAGGCGGTAAATGGACAACGTACCGAAGGTACAAAAATAGAAGGGAGTTGAATTTTTATAAACTAATAGTCAAAGTTTGTGTTAGTAAAATGCTAATAGAGTGATATTATTTCAGCATGGCAGAAGATGCGGTGAACGCAGCAATAAAATCTGGAAAGCTGAAACCTAGCAACGATTGCGTAACGCAGAAGCTACAGCTTGTGGGTTCTTACGGATGGGACCCATCTTCCTTCGCAGCTCTAGCGCAGCAATACGTGCGCGTGAAGAAAACACACGGTGGTAAAATGGTTCCGGGGACAATGGACACAGCTGCTGCAAAGCATTTGTCACATGCATATGGTTCAATGGCTGACCGAGTAGCCACCATTGCTCAGGAAGAGGGTCTTGGGAAGAGGCTAGCACACGGTCATCCGTTCCTTGAAGCAGAAGTTGCTTACTGTGCAAGAAACGAGTACTGTGAGTCAGCAGTGGATTTCATAGCCAGGAGGTGTAGGATAGCCTTTTTAGATACAAATGCAGCGGAGCAGGCTTTGAAACGTGTGGTGGAGATATTAGCGAGTGAACACAAGTGGGGCAAGTCGAGGCAGAAGCAGGAGTTGAGGATGGCCACAGAGTTTCTTCAAACTTTCAAGTCTTCCGATAAAATACACTTACTACAACAAGAGGCCTAACTAGTAGTTCCTTACTAGCTAACTCATGAGATTTAGATATTTTTAGCTTTTATTTTTCCTTTAATTAGCTGGATATTGCATTCCCTGAGATTGAGTGAGAGTAATGACTCGAGAGTCGAGACCACAATATTCTTTGAATCTTCTTAGATATTCTTTTACTCAGTTGATCCAATTCTCCCAGTCATTGTTTTTAACGTGAGCTTGAACCAGATTATAGTCTCAGATTACTAGAAAACATCCGTTTGATTTTTGAAAAAGACATTGTCACCTTAAATGACATGTCAGGCACATGAACGAAAAAGATTAATGTTACGTACGTTACGATTCCTTGATTTTGTAACGTCTAGCCTGCAGAAAGGGACAAGAGGACGAAGATATATATCTTATATGGGCATGGTTAGCATGTGTGGTCCACTGCGACACTGCATGGTTACTGTCAATCAATTAAAATAATCATACTATAAGATTGTTTGAGCTCAATCCATGTCAACTTTAGAGAGCTATCACAGCGAGAAATAAACTTATATATCCAGTGTTCGTCAGTAAGGAAAATCGTATGAGATGTAGAGGTGGAGCCAGGTCAGATGGAGAAGATGAGAGTAATGACTAGACTTACTTTTATTACAGTGGTTTGAAAATGAGAGAGATAAGAAAAAGGGAATGTGATCTTGTTAGATCTAACGGCTACAAGCGTATCACTACACATACATCAACGGCAAGGATGGTAGACATTTCGTGAGTTTACTACGCCACGTGGATGTGACGTGTTTATCAATCTTATCCGCAGTGTAAATAATTATTTTTCCAGTGACTAAAGCGTTAGAATATGGCCGTTGGATGGGCTGAAGGTTAAAATTTGAACGGTTCATATAAGCAGGTGTACAGTAATAAAAGTGCAGATGAGCGTAGATAATAATAAGTTTCATTCAAAGAGAATTCTGTCTTATAAAACGACACGACATATCACCGATTGGCTTCACTTCATTTCTTTCTCTCTCGAAGCATCAAAAGTCTCTCTCTCTCTCTCTCTCTCTTGTACATTACAGACAGTGTTTTAGGAGGAAATATAGATGATGATGGCGAAGGCTTTGTTACCGGAGGTTTGGACGGAGATTCTGGTGCCGGTGTGCGCGGTGGTGGGAATAGCCTTCTCGCTGTTCCAGTGGTATATAGTCTCATGCGTGAGACTAACCGCCGATCGTGACGCGTCAGAAGAAGAGGAGAAGAATGGAAATGGGGAATATCTGATAGAGGAAGAGGAAGGTGTTAATGATCAGAGCGTCGTCGCCAAGTGTGCTGAGATCCAGACAGCTATTTCCGAAGGTGATGTTAGAGACACCTCCTCTTGTCTTCTTAGATGGTATAAAACAGAGTAATAGACAGAGAAAAATCGAGACTTTTTTTTCCCTTTATTATGACTTTTGGGTTTGAATCTGCCAGAAAGAGTGTGATCTTTAGTTATTTAATTTTGGTGCTTCGGTGTGTCGCACGTTATTTATTTAAGAGCTTCTTGGTTTGAAAATATGTTTTGGAATTTTTGAACCTTTTTTGCTTGTCTTTAACTAGCCTTAAGCTGACTATTAGTCAAAGTAAGTCGTTGTCTTTGTTAAATACTCTTGTCCTGTGTGTGATTGAACAGGTGCAACCTCATTTCTCTTCACCGAGTACAAATACGTTGGCGTCTTCATGGTTCTCTTTGCCGCCATTATCTTTCTCTTCCTCGGCTCCGTCCAAGGTTTCAGCACCAAGACCCAGCCTTGCACTTACGACAAGACAAGGACATGCAAGCCTGCTCTCGCTACTGCTCTCTTCAGCACTATCTCCTTCGTGCTCGGTGCAGTGACTTCTGTCCTCTCTGGTTTTCTTGGCATGAAGATTGCTACTTATGCCAATGCTAGAACCACTCTGGAAGCAAGGAGGGGCGTTGGAAAAGCCTTCATCGTTGCATTTAGGTCTGGCGCTGTCATGGGTTTCCTTCTCGCTGCAAACGGTCTCTTGGTGCTTTACATTACTATCAATCTCTTCAAGATTTACTACGGTGATGACTGGGAAGGCCTTTTTGAGTCAATCACCGGTTATGGTCTTGGTGGATCTTCCATGGCGCTCTTTGGTAGAGTTGGTGGTGGAATCTACACTAAGGCTGCTGATGTTGGTGCTGACCTTGTCGGTAAAGTAGAAAGGAATATTCCCGAAGATGATCCAAGAAACCCTGCTGTAAGCTTTTTTTAACACCATTCCTTATCTTAGTTTTTTTTTTTCTTTACCTGAGAAGTTGACTTATTAAAGTTTTGGTTGTTATGTTTCAGGTTATTGCTGATAATGTGGGTGACAATGTTGGTGACATTGCTGGGATGGGCTCTGATCTCTTTGGATCATACGCTGAATCATCTTGTGCTGCACTTGTTGTTGCTTCCATCTCTTCCTTTGGAATCAACCATGACTTCACTGCCATGTTGTTCCCGTTGCTCATCAGTTCAGTGGGGATTTTGGTTTGTTTGATCACAACCCTCTATGCGACCGACATCTCTGAGATTAAGGCAGTGAAGGAGATCGAACCTGCACTGAAAAACCAGCTCATTATTTCAACCGTTATCATGACTGTTGGAATAACTCTAGTGTCATGGATTGGGTTACCATCTTCCTTCACCATCTTCAACTTTGGGACACAGAAAGTTGTGAAAAACTGGTAAGATCCTTTTGATTGGTTGCACTGGCTGTTTTTTGTTGTTGTTGTGCGTTACTTAAATTTCGTGTATGCAGGGAGCTATTCCTGTGTGTTGCTATTGGTCTCTGGGCTGGACTCATTATCGGCTTTGTTACTGAATACTACACAAGCAACGCATACAGGTAAAGAAACTAGTTTCGCCCAATATCGAGTGTCACTTCTCTTTCTGTGTGGCTTCTTTTATGACCAATTAATGCCTGTGTGTGCTTTGCAGCCCTGTGCAAGACGTGGCAGATTCATGCAGGACTGGAGCAGCAACCAACGTTATATTCGGACTTGCTCTTGGATACAAATCGGTCATAATTCCAATCTTTGCGATTGCTGTCAGTATATTTGTTAGCTTCAGCTTTGCTGCGATGTACGGTGTGGCTGTTGCTGCTCTTGGGATGCTCAGTACCATTGCAACTGGTTTGGCGATTGATGCTTATGGTCCAATCAGTGACAATGCTGGAGGCATTGCTGAGATGGCTGGAATGAGCCATCGCATCCGAGAAAGAACCGACGCTCTTGATGCTGCTGGAAACACCACTGCTGCTATTGGAAAGGTATATCATAGTCTCTTTTTTTTGTCAGTTTTATACAAAGAAACCACTATTGTGCTCAAACTTTTGGTTTGCTATGTACTATACGACAGGGATTTGCGATTGGTTCTGCTGCTCTTGTGTCGTTGGCTCTGTTTGGTGCATTTGTGAGCCGAGCAGGAATACAGACGGTGGATGTGTTGACCCCAAAGGTCGTGATAGGGTTGCTTGTTGGAGCAATGCTTCCTTATTGGTTCTCTGCAATGACGATGAAGAGTGTGGGAAGTGCAGCTCTGAAGATGGTGGAAGAAGTGAGGAGGCAGTTCAACACCATCCCGGGACTCATGGAAGGTACTGCGAAACCAGACTATGCAACTTGCGTCAAGATCTCAACGGATGCTTCCATCAAGGAAATGATTCCTCCTGGTTGCCTTGTCATGCTGACTCCTCTCATTGTCGGTTTCTTCTTCGGCGTTGAGACCCTCTCTGGTGTCCTCGCTGGCTCCCTTATCTCCGGAGTTCAGGTAATAAATCTTAAGAACCATTAAATAGTCCCAGAGTTTTTCATGCACTTTCACTGAGATTGCTGGATTGTTAATAAACAGATTGCGATATCAGCATCTAATACTGGTGGAGCCTGGGACAATGCCAAGAAGTACATTGAGGTAAGCAAGCTTTTTATGTGTGTGAGAGAGAGTTTATATGGTGAAAAAATATCAGAAGAGAGAGCATTGAGGATTGTTAAATGATGAGTGCAGGCCGGTGCATCAGAGCACGCGAGGAGCTTAGGACCAAAAGGGTCAGAGCCACACAAGGCAGCAGTGATAGGTGACACAATAGGAGACCCGTTGAAGGATACATCAGGACCGTCGCTTAACATATTGATAAAGCTAATGGCTGTTGAGTCTCTCGTCTTTGCTCCCTTCTTTGCTACACATGGAGGTTTCCTCTTCAAGATCTTCTCGTGAAGTAGAAGGCTAACTTATGTATAAAAAAGCATGCTTACTCTTTTACATCTTTTTGTTTTCGGTGGCGGTGGTGGTTTACTTTTTGTTTAATGGTTTCATTAAGAAAACTGAAAATGATTTTATATATTAAAACAGAAGTCACAACCTAGATTCATGTGTGATTTTTTTAAAAATGGACTATTCCTTAAGAAAATTATGAATTATGAAGATTATCAAATGTTTCATAATTTAATGATAATATCTTTAAATATCTTTATTTTTTTATTTGAAATACAAATGAAATAAATTCAACAAAATCTTTTTGACATCTTTTTAAATTATATTTCCACAATATCCCATATATTTATCTTTTATTCGAAATACAAATGTTTTTGTTTAAGATATTAAAATTTATCTAGATAGCATTATATATTCCTAAATCCTAAATAAAAAACTATATATTAGAGTATAACCCACACAATTTTTTTATTTTTATAAATATAACACTTTGATAGTATTATAAAAAATTAAATATATGATTTAAATTTAATGTTATATATTATATAACACAATAATTTAGTTGTTTAAATTTTTTATTCTTCATTATTAATATATAGTAATTTTTTTTATATATTTTAATTTATATTCTTATTGATTGTTATTGCTAAATAATATATTTTTGAGTTTGATACATAAATTATAATTTAAAATAATTAAATTATAATCTTCTTTAATATAGAGTTTTAATTTCTGGAATTTGTATACAATACATTTTAAAATTTATTTAGATACACTGTAGATAAATATTTGTTAGTGATAATTTATATTGTTTTGTTGTGTTTAAAAATGATACTTTAATATCTATTATTTTAGTATTTTGCACGATTTTATAAATAACTATATTATTATTTATTGATAATTTTTTTTATAAATTATAAATAAAAAGCAAACCCGCACGGTTGGCGGATCGAGATCTAGTGTGTATTAAGGCAGACAAAGAAAAGACAGAAAAAATGCTAAGAATCGAGAATCAAAAGTTGGATATTTCGTTGAAATGACCAACCATCAGACACAAGTTATAAATTGAACATGTTTGATTGTTGAAATAACGAATAAGAAAAAAGAAACTAGAACAATCTCATCTTATTAAACCATTGCATATAAGTATTATTATAAGGTTTGGATCCTTACATGTATAGTCATCATGTGTTATTGTATATATATATAATTTAAAATAAAAGCAAATAAGATCTTTATTGTTGTTTGGTGTGTTCGGAGACCATGCGGCGGTTCCTTCCTCTCACTGCAACGGGTGGAGACTTGTAACATTTTGTACGACAAGCTGCACATTCTGACGCTGGTGATGAGCGCTGGCAGTGGGGACGGCAGATCTTACTGCATTCTATTTCAGTTTTTGCTTCACCTTCTATGGCCAATACGACTAGTATCATAACTATCCACACCATGCTCATTACCTTACTCATTTTCTTCTTCTTCTTCTTTAGGCTATGAATGAGAATATGAGATACTTACGATGCAACGGTTTCTATATGTTTGTGAATGAGTTACTCGTGATGCCAACAGTCTCTATTTATAGTTTCGAGATTGTAGTGAATACATTGTCTTTCAATTACTTTTTAGTCAAAATTTAACAGTAAACCAAAAAGGAACGTATTTAGTCAAAATTCTTGGTCAAAACTCAAAAGTATTTATGTGTATTAGTCAAAGTTTTAATTGTTGCCATGCTTGGACTCAGTTAGTAACTTGTAAGGTATTAATACATTCAGATTCAGTTGCCATTACATCGGTTCTATTAACTTTGAACTCTTGTTCAAAAGTATATGAGTATTAGTCAAAGTTTTAAATATTTTTACCTTTTACCTGTTTAAATTTTCCGTATGGACATATATCTTTAAAATTTAGACTGTTTATATATCTTAAAAATTTAGACTGTTTATCATCCATCTCTAGCATGGAAATTAAGTGACAGCTTAATTGTCATGGAAATGAAAAAAAGTTATGATGGCTGCAGGAAGAAACAAAAATCTAGTGCAAGTTTGTAATATTGTTGGGTTCGATTTCAAAACACACACTATAACATTTGTCACCTTTCACATATGAATATGTCAGTGACAACTAGATCATAAAAAAACTTGCAAAAGGGATTCTTGAAACAAGATGAAGGAACACAGATTATATCTCTCCTCTGTATCCACCAGAACCAAAATAGTCTTTTCTAGAGTTAGAAATTGCCACACTCTTCTGCTGCTCCAGTTTTGGACAGTCTCTAATACGATGTCCCAGACCTCCACAGTAAGCACAACCCTTGACACCACTTGCATTAGCAATGTTCTCTGCTTCCTCCATCGGATCATTCAGCTCAGCAAGTACAGGCGGAATCCTCTGTTTAGCTTCTTGCAACAAGTGTTTCAGATCAAGCAGCGTGGTCTCGCTTTGGTTCTTGTTTATAAACGTTGTTGCTATCCCAGTTTTCCCACACCGACCTGTTCTTCCTATCCTATGCACATAGTTCTCAATCTCCGCAGGCATGTCGTAGTTTATAACGTGTTGTATATCCGGGAAGTCAAGACCCTTGGAAGCAACATCTGTGGCGACCAGGACGTCTTTCTTACCAGCTTTGAACGAAGAGATTGCGTATTCTCTATCCTCCTGATCTTTTCCTCCATGAATCGCGACTGCTTCTACTCCTTTCAGTAACAAGTACTCGTGAATATCATCAACATCAGCTTTGTTCTCACAGAAAATTAAAACCGGTGGTGAGGTTTTCTGCAGGCACTCGAGGAGGTAAACAATCTTTGCTTCTTGTTTGACGTACTCAACCTCCTGGATGACATCGAGATTCGCAGCTCCGGCTCTTCCTACGTTAACAGTCACAGGTTTCACCAGAGCACTTCTGGCAAAGATCTGAATTTTGGTAGGCATTGTGGCAGAGAAGAGAAGTGTTTGACGCTGGGACTTAAAATGGTCAAAGACTTCCCTGATGTCATCTTCGAAACCCAAATCAACCAACCTATCTGCCTCATCCAGCGTTAGGTACCTATATCAGCGAAAAAAGAGAGGGTAAACATCATCGTCAACATGTCCAACTAACAACATGCAAATTTGAGATCCCAAATGTGAAGAAGATACATGGCACAGCCTTAAGACTCCAAAGAGAAGAAGGATGCATTCAGAAAGAAACATGAGCACTGAAAGTTTGTTCAGAGTAAAGAAACCATATCAAATCACACACAGTCAAGTGCTGACAGAACAGAACCAAGACAATCCTATTGATCTCTAGCATTTAAATAAAAAGATACTACCACGAACCTAGACTAGTGCATAACTCAAACATGAGAAAATAAGAAGGAACAACGCAGTCAAGGCATAAGTGAAAAACATATTTCCAGAAGGTGTTACCTGCAGGCATCTAAGTTCATCTTTTTCTTGGCGAGTAAATCCTTCAGCCTCCCAGGGGTAGCAACAACGATGTGAACACCTCTCTTGACAACATCCAACTGGGATCTCATATCCACACCACCAATGCAAAGCAAAGACCTCAAAGGCGGGTAACCAGCCTGGACCAAAGGAGCCACAAACTGTTCAACAACATCATAAGTCTGCCTAGCAAGCTCTCTGGAGGGGCAAACAATAAGGCCAATGGGACCTTCTCCGGGACCAATAGGCATCATCTTCTCCTCCTGGAGAGCAATCATGATCATAGGAAGCACGAAAACCATAGTCTTCCCAGAACCAGTAAAGGCAATCCCAATCATATCTCTCCCAGACAAAATAACAGGAAGACCCTGAACTTGGATAGGAGTAGGCTGCACAATGCCTTTCTCCTTGAGAGTATCCAAAATAGGAGGCTTAAACTTCATATCCTTGAAGTTCTTAATAGGAGGAGGAATGTCTTCACCGCTAACAATGATATGCCATTGCTTCCTAATCAGATCCATCTGTTTCCTAGACATCTTCCTAATATGCAAAGGAGGTTTCCAACCTGTTAAGAGAGGCTCTGTGTAAGTGATACCTTTGGCTAACTCGCGAACAGACATGAGAGTCTTCTTATCAGATAAGTGCTCCATCATCTCCTTCTCTTGTAGTATGATTTGCTCCGTAGCACTCACTTCGGGTACGTCTCGCTTGAGCTGAGTCGCTTGAACGAGCAAGCTGGGTTTGGATTCGGCGAGCTTCTCCTTCTCGGCGGCGTCTTCCTCCAGCTCCGCCACTTTCCCCTTCCGTTGGAGAATCTTCTGCTCTTCCATGGCTCTACGCTTCGCCACAGGAATATACTCCACGTAATCATCGTCTATTTCCATGATTTCGAAAATCCACAGCGCTTCCTCTTTCAATAGGATGGAAACGAAAAACCTAATCAAGCAGCAGAGTAGATCTCTCTCTCGAAACGAAAACAGATATAATAGTCGGGAAACTAACCGACCCGGGGTTTCGCCAATCGGGTTAAGACGGCGTCGATATCTTATATTGGGCTGTTAAAGGGCCTCTTATTTGAGTTTATACGGGCCATTAATGTGTATCAATTTAAGTTCAATAATAAATAGAAATGGGCCTAAGATACTTTGTAGTCGCTGAGTCCTTCCCCATCCTCTCTAGCACAACTCCTTGTTCATCTTTTCACTCTGACCATCTTCCGAAGAATTGGTTTGGTTGGTGGTGTGATTCATCACGTTTGAGGATCCTGTTTGGATTGTATTTCCTGATTTACACTACCGCTCACTTGCTTTCGTTTCAAGACGTGAGTTTTCTCCTTTTTTTTTTTTTTGAGAATTATAGTTGTTGATCCCTGATCTAATAGAGACTTTTACCTTCGATTACTCTGGATTCACATTTTCTCTAGACGTGAGTTTTCTCAAATCATTTATCTAGACGATTTGATTGATTGTTTCCAAGTCTAAACTCCCATTTTTGTTTCTGAAAACAATTTCCTTGTTTGGTGTTGAAGTTTCAGGAGGAGACAAAATATCTATATCTGTACTTTTTAATCTATCCGTAGAGTGAATGGCAAACACAGCGTGTTTTATAATAGTGGGTCGGAATGATATTCCCATATATGAAGCTGAAGTTGGTTCTGCGGCCAAAGTAGTACACTCTTCTTTCTTTCTTTCTTGATTCATTTAGACATTCATAGGATCAAATATATGATTATATCATTGTTGTTGTTCATTTGGCTGGTGGGTGATATGAAAAGTTTTGATATATACAGTTGTTTAAAATTCTGTCTACTTTGTTCTCTGTTGTTTGGCAGAGAGAAGATGCTGCTCAGTTGCACCAGTTTATACTACACGCTGCTTTAGATGTTGTCCAAGACCTTGCTTGGACTACTAGTGCTATGTAAGTAAAGTAAAGTAAAGTCCCTTCCTTTCCTTTCCTTTTGATATATTTCTTTATTATAATAAGCAAGGCTTCATCTCATAATCATATATTAATTTAACTCTTCTTCAGGTTCTTGAAGTCAGTTGACAGGTTTAACGATCTGGTTGTGTCCGTCTACGTTACCGCTGGCCATATCCTTTCTTTTCTTCTTCCTGTAACTTTAAAATTAAACTCTTTTTAAATCCAAGTGCAAATTATCATTTCCTTCTTCTGATTCTCATTCATCTAAATCCATTTTCATATTGGTACGCTGGTTTTTTGTGGTTAACAGACTCATCTCAAAAATGTTACATCTTTTGTTGTGTCTTCCTTGATTAATTTATCGCACATACTCGACTCATGCTCCTTCATGATTCACGCAATGAAGACGGCATCAAGAGCTTCTTCCAGGAGGTGCACGAGCTTTATATAAAGGTTAGCTCTTCTTTGATTTGATCTGATCTGATTCGATTGCACCGTAGTAACACTGTAACGACATATTATTGTCAGCAAAGTCATCATGGAAATCGTTCGTTTTTGTTTATGCAGATTCTTCTGAACCCCTTGTATCTGCCCGGTTCTCGTGTCACATCGACACATTTTGACACCAAGGTACGTGCACTTGCAAGAAAGTATCTCTAGGCAAGACTGAAGAGATTCTGTCTTTGCGTTTGTTTGCTGGATGTCCAAAGCCCAGAGTTCCACTCAAATTGTTTGTTTTTGTGTGTTATGTCAAGTGCTAGATCTCTGTCCTGTATTTCCACTCCCAAACAAGATTTAGATTCCTTGTTTTGTAAGAAAAAATGATCGAATTCAGTCCAAACCCATAATCTCATTTTTTGGTTGTTATCAAGTCTCTCTCCTCCCAGAGTTGGTACTAAACACAGATTAGAAAGAATGAAAAACTTTACTTGGAATTGAATCCATTGGAGAACAACGCAAAATAGTAATAAATGTCTTTGTTAAATAAAGGATTGAAATGCAACGCCTAACCTTTAAAAGCCTTTGTGAAACTTTTGTTCAACAAATGCTAATCGCCAATCAATAAGATGTGTTAATTGCTGCAATTTGGTTTAATAAAGGAGGCCAGGCCACGTGTGAAGTACAAGTTTACCTCTCTCTCTCTTTCCTTGCAAAACTATCTCTTCTCTCGCTCGCCGACGAGACAGGAAGAACGACCATTGTTGACTCTTTACCAGAGATTCAGCAGTTTTGATTTTTATTTTTGAACAATCTCTCTCTCCATTTCTTCGTAAGAAAAAAAGAAGAAGAAAGTCTCGTCCTCTTTTGTAAGTTCATCTTGGTTCTCTCTAATCGATTTCAAGAGAGAGTTGAGCTAACATCATCAGATCTTGGGGAAATGGAAAGCAGTTACTCTGTCATTTCCAAAAACTCTTACGTCGAGTTACAGAAACAGACCAAACCTTCTACCAAGTTGCTTCCTTCCGATGAAGAAACCTTCGTCAACGATTTCGACGATGATACCCGTAGCCTTGTCGTGGGCGATGAAGAAGCCGATGATCTAGAAGACTTCGATATCTCTAATTACCCACTCGTCAATGCCAAATCCAATCAAAACGGATCTGGGATCTACGGCGCCGTTTTCAACCTCACCACATCCATCATCGGCGCCGGGATCATGGCATTACCCGCCACCATGAAAGTCCTCGGCTTGGTTCTAGGTTTTGTTCTAATCATCCTCATGGCCATTTTGTCAGAGATTAGCGTCGAGCTTTTGATTAGATTCTCAGTTCTTTACAAGTCGAGATCTTACGGCGAGGTTGTGCAGTTCGCGATGGGGAAAACCGCTAGGGTTTTGTCTGAGATTTGCATCATCGTCAACAACGGCGGCGTTCTCGTTGTTTACCTTATCATCATGGGTGACGTCATGTCTGGTTCTCTTCATCACATTGGTGTTTTGGATCAGTGGTTAGGGAATGGCTTCTGGGATCACCGTAAAGTTTTGATTTTGTTTGTTATGCTTGTCTTCTTGGCTCCTCTCTGTGCTTTGAACAAGATTGATTCCTTGAGCGTTACTTCTGCTGCTTCCGTTGCTCTCGCTGTTGTCTTTGTTGTTGTCTGTTTCGCTGTGGCTACGATTAAGCTTATTGAAGGAACTATTGATACTCCGAGGATGAGTCCTGATTTTAGTTCCAAAGAAGCCATTTTGGATCTTCTCGTGGTGATTCCCATCATGTCAAACGCTTATGTTTGTCATTTCAATGTTCAGCCCATCTATAACGAGCTCGAAGGTCGATCTCCTCATAAGATGAACAAAGTTGGGAGAATCACGACAGCTATTTGTGTTGTTGTCTATGCTTCAACTGCTATTTCAGGTTATCTTCTCTTCGGTTTGGCCACCGAAGCTGATATATTGACCAACTTTGATCAAGATCTCGGCATCCGTTTCAGCTCTGCTGTGAATTACATTGTCAGAATTGGATACATTCTCCATCTTGTTCTCGTCTTTCCCGTGATTCATTTCTCCTTGAGAGAAACTGTCAATACCTTGTTGTTTGAAGGCTCGCCTCCTCTGTCTGAAAGCAAAAAGAGATCTTTGGGGCTCACATTGATCTTGTTGGCTCTTATTTACATCGGCTCGACCATGATCCCAAATATATGGACTGCTTTCAAATTCACAGGTGCAACATCAGCGGTTTCTCTTGGTTTTACCTTCCCTGCTTTGATAGCATTACGGTTAGGGAAACAGAGCAATTCGTTAAGCCTTGTGGAGAGATCTGTGTCGTGGTTGATGCTAATCTTAGCGGTGGTGGTTAGCATTGTGGGAACCGTTGGCAACATTTACAGCATCAGAAGCAAATCAGATTGATGAAGAATACTACACTTTGTTTAGTGGTGTTTACAGTATCTTGTAGATTTTATTATACAAATCAGAGATTCTCAGTCCAATACAGAACAGGAAGTCTTCAGTTGTTTTTTTGTGACTGCTACATGCCACCTTTAGAGGATTAGATGGCCTTTGTTCAGGGCTAAGTCCACGGGTTTGCCGTTTGTGAATTGTTTCAGGTAACCAGATGATTATCATACCCCATGACTTCTATGTATACAGACTAAGATTCTTATTGATATTTTTTTAATATATATACGCAATTTTTGATGCTTTTTGATGAATAAAATCTCCTTAAACATTTTTGCTGCGATTGAATAGATTTTTCTTTTCTGTTATTTCTGATCGTTTGGGGCATCGGGATTAGTTATGAATGTAATTGAAAATCGATTAGGTATCTGATATAAGTTCAAGCTTTTGCATCAATGTATGCTGCCTGTGACCATAACCGAAGCATAAGAGATAACATGTTAGTCTGCTATTATTTTTGTTTGGGACAGCAATTAGTATGGTAATAAAGGCGTAAATTCATTAGGTACTAAGATCATTAATCAATAAACTTAAAGCATAATGGTAGAAGTCATAGAAGTGGGAACTAGCTAGTGGTAGTGGTAGTGCATTTGCACAATTACTATAAATTTTCACATGCTCATGACGCGTGATCCCCAGTGGTGTCTCTGTATAGTTAAGTTGTTGTCAACTGTAGATGTCTTTCTACAATATCCTGATCGTGCTGGGTTGAATATCTGCATCCACTTGTCTTGATGTTTGTAATCACATCACCCACAGTGTATATAGGAATTAACTTTTTCTTTTAAATATATATTTAGATTATGGATTATTATTATCATTATTATTAATTTAAATCATTTATCTAATTAAATTATTATTAAATTCATTTTTATTTTTGGCTGATTTATATATTTTGTTCATTAAGGATATAATCGATATTAACCGCTCCAACTTTTAACGTAAGAGCCCTGTTGCAAAAAATCACTTCGCAAATAATAGGATAGATTTAATTTTCTCTTTTGAATTATATACAATTAAAAATTTTATTTTATGAATAATTATTTATGTGTTTTTTGTTTTTGAATTTTTTTTATTAAAAATATATTTTTCGGATAACAACACAGTATATATAGGAATTATCTTTTTTTTTTAAATATATATTTAGATTATAGATAATTCTTATCATTATTATTAATTTAAATCATTTATCTAATCAAATAAGTTTTAAATTCGTTTTTATTTTTGGTTGATTTATATATTTTTTTATTAAGAGTATAAACGATATTAACCATGCTAACTTTTAACGTGGGAGTTCCGTTGCGAAAAATCACTTCGCAAATAATAGTATAGATTACAGAAATATTAGTTGAGTATAGGAGCGAGGTGAATTTTAATTTCCATAGTGGTAGTGTATTTTGGGTTATCGTTAGTTGACCTAACTAGAAAGACAATACTAGATATATTCTTTTTTTATTTGATCAAGTAATACTAGATACTAGGATAAGACCTGCGCCTTGCGCATGGTGAATATATGTAATTAAAATATAAAATTTTAATATTCACAAATTTAAAATTTATATATGATTGTTTTTGTATGTATTTGAAATTTTAGAATTTTGGAATTTTTATATAATTATCTATACGTATGATAAAAAACAATTTTAATTAGAAATGTAAATCAAATCTTAGAATTTAATGGATCTGATTTCATATATCTTTTTACTTTTCAGTGTTCGAGTGATGGAAAATAAATGGAGTGTCACTGGGCCTGACTGGTAGAGTATAGCAAGTTCCCTAATGTTTTTAAAGAAGCAATTTGTAAAATATTTGCAATTAAAATATATAAAGTTTCTAAACTAATTTAATATAATTTATTTATTTGTCTAATAATATTAGAAAATTATATTTTTTAAAAATAATTTTCTAAAAGATTATGTTAAATTTAAAATTATTTTTAAAAGCAATATTTTAAGTTTTTCGAATACAAATAAAAAATTTAAAATTAATTATTGTCATGATTTAACATAGCCATAATGATTTAAAAATTAAAAAAATTAAAAGTTAACAAATTAAAAATTAACTCAGTTTTATATCATGATTTTACAATTTAAAAATTAATTATGGTTATGAGAAGTTTACGTTCACATGTCAATCCTATTTATCTTCCAGTTATGAGAAGTTCACGTTCACGTGTCAATCATATTTATCTTCCATTTTTCTCTTGCTATGTTTTTTTTTTATATTTTGGTTATTACTCGATATAAATATTTATTTTGAATTTTATTCTCATTTCGTTTGTTTGTTTTGACCTGAAATTTAGAAAATATTTAAGTTTTAAAATAATTAAACAGATAAATACTTAGGTTAAGATCTGCACTTTATGCACAATAAGTATTTTA